ACAGACCCAGTTCTTTTTACTTTCCATTGATTTCTTCTTAGAGGGAAAGTGAATTTTATGAGCTGGCAAGCCCACAGATGCTTCTAATAACAATCGCATAATATACATGAACCAATGACTGTGGAACTTGAACATTTCTAATTTAAGTTCTATCAATGGATGTCTCCAGATCCACAGGGCTGTGGTCGGAAGTGAAAGAGAGAAAAGAGACAAGGTCCTCAGTCTCAAGGCTGAGGTGGTTTGTGAGAGCGAGGGGAAGGATGAGCTCGGTTCCCACCCTCTCACATGGAAGAGCCAGGCACCATGACCCCCACCTCAGACCTCCAAGGAGCTCCTAGCATCTCATCCGACTGCTTGATCTTGACATCTAACACCTTAGCCACAGTTCTGCAGTCTGGCAATCTTGTTCCTATCAGAACTTGCCCCAGATAAAAGAAATCAACCACCTCTACAAGAGACAAGACTCTGGGACAGTGGCTACAAAATGGTCCCTAGGAGACAGCTCAGGAAAAACACTAACATTTAGGTCTGAAATGAGAGCTAATATTTGGCACTGGAGATTTTATTTCAAAGCCTAGTGGGCCCACTTAAAGCCATGATCCATCGTGATACTGGCTACTGTGTGCCCATGTTCTTCCAGTAGCCATGCACCACTCTCCAGGCTCATCTGCCAGGAAGCCAGGCAGTCACCCACTAAGCCCAATTCTGTGCAGTGCCCCTCAGAGAGGTGACAGAGATGAGAGTGCAGGCCCAGCACTGTTCAGAGAAGAACAGGCCAGGAGGAAAAGAGGGTTTGAGGCAGGATTTGCACACACATAGAAAGATGGCTCTGAGTGTGGGTCACAAGACCCTTGTGCACCCACTGCCACCAGTATCATCCAAGCACCCAGAAACCCCACCAGACAGGAAGCTGTGTAATAGTCTCCATGGGTGGCCCCACGTGTAGGTTCTAGACTTCTTCTCTAAAGGGCTGCCAGAGTCAGCCTCAAGTACCAAACCTTTTCAGAGCCCACTGCATTCAAAAACAAAATGTACTGTGTTTAACCAGAGGTGATAACCACTTAACACCCCAGCTTAATGTGAGAGGTTCCTACCGAATCTTGTATCTGTACTCTTTGGGCCCTAACCTCTACGTGTGTGTGTGTGTGTGTGTGTGTGTGTGTGTGTGTGTGTGTGTGTGTGTGTGTGTGTGTGTGTGTAAAAAGGGGGGCTGGAGAGGTAGTTCAGCGCAAAGGCCGCGGGTTCAATCTCCTGAAGAAGAAAGAAAAGGAAAGGAGAAAGGGGAAAGGGGAAAGAGGAAAGAGGAGGCAGGCGTGCCTGTAATCCCTGGGAGATTACAGGGAGGCTGAGGCAGGAGGATCGCTGTGAGTTCAAGACCAGCCTGGGCTACAAAGGGAACTCAAGGCCACCTGAACTGTATAGCAAAACCCTGTCTCAAAAAGACAAAAAAAGAGGAGAAAAGCAAAGGAGAGAAGGAGGAAAGAAGGAAGGAAACTGAGCTTGACTTTGCTGGTTTTTAATGTTTTATGTAGTCTTTCATTAAACTTAGCCAGAGCTCTTATTTGAGTAACTCAGCCCACCATCATATGGAAACTAAGTCCCAATTACTTTATAAGCATCAAAATTTATGTATTAAACCCCTTTCTCTTGAAGCATCTAGAAGCATTTCCATTTTTGCACTTGTCTCTACTGAGGCAATGTACATTATTACTGTATAACAAGCCTCCATTTATTTAAACCTGCATCTCTGTGTCTCTCTACTTTTTCTTTTTAGGATAGGGTCTCACTATGTTGCCCAAACCAGCCTCGAACTCCAGAGCTCAAGCGATCCTCCGGCCTCAGCCTCCCAAGTAGCTGAGACTATTGGCACATACCACCATACCTGGCTCTATTTTTATTATTTTTATTTTTTTAACAAAGTATATAATTTATTTCTATTTTTAAAATATATGTTACGTCAGGTTTTGAAAGATTCTATGTATTTTTTTTAGTTAAAAAAATTATCTAAGCCGGGCTTGGTGGCGCACACCTGTAATCCCAGCACTCGGGAGGCTGAGGCAGGAGGATCCTTGCGAGTTCAAGACCAGCCTGGGCTACAAGGTGAGCTCAAAGCCAGCCTGAACTGCATACTGAGACCCTGTCTCAAAAAAAGACCAAAAAAAAAAAAATTATCTAGCAGCTTGGATGTAGCTCCATGGTAGAGTGCTTACCTAGCATGCCCAAGGCCCTGGGTTCAATCCCCAGCATAGGAAAAAAGAAAGAAAAAGTTAATTTTAAGTAAAATAAGAATGAAAATATATTTGTTTATTTATTTTTAAAAAGTAAATATAGGGGTAACCCGCTTGGGCCCCTCTTCTGTCCCTCTCTTGGACAGAAGCATTCTTTTCTTTCCCTCAATAAATATATTCTGCTCTTAAAAAAAAAAAAAAAATTTAAAAAAAAAAAAAATAAAAAGTAAATATAAACCTGAGCATGGGGGCACACACCTGTAATCCCAGCACTTGGGAGGCTGAGGCAGGAGGATTGCCTCAAGTTTCAGACAAGCTCAAACTACATAGTGAGTTCAAGGCCAGCCTGAACTACATAGCAAGAGTGTGTCTCAAAAACACTGTACCTAAATGAAGGAAGGAAGGAAGAAAGGAAGAAAGGAAGGAATAAAAATTAAAAAGCAAATACAAGCCAGGTGTGGTGATGCATGCCGGCAATTCCAGCTACTGGGAGGCTGAGGCAGGAGGATTTTGAGTTTCAAGCCAAGTTGGGTAATTTCATGAGACCATGTTTCAAAATAAAAAGAGCAAATATAACTACTGATAAACTCCTGGCACAACAGTTAAGAAAACAGACCGTTTTATTAGGAAAAAAAAAAAAAAAAAAAAAGATAGCTGCTGCCAAAATTCAGACCCATGACTTTGTAAACCAGATTGTAACCTGTTCTACTCAGCAAACCATTCCCTCTGCCGCTTTCCTCTTGGTTCAGTTCCACCTTGGCACTGCTCAGTAGAAGAAATGAGCTGAGCCCATGGACCATCTGGGCACAGATGCCCTTCTCCTCTGCCTACTTCTCATCTTCCAACCACCACCCTGAGGGCGAGGAGGTTTCATCTCAGGATGCAACTGACCAAAATTTTATAGCTGCCCAGTGTGTTGTGCACTGAGGAAAACTGGGGCTCTGAATGAAAATGAATGCTGTAATCAAGTGGTAATGTTGACCACGGAAGCTAAGGATGTACGGGGGTTAACACCCTGATATTTGCCATTCCTGACCCAAACTAAATTTCCCTGAAATTCCAAGCCATCTTTAAATCCACAAGGGAGATGAGGAAGACAGGTGGGAGAGGGGTGCAAAGGACTTTCTCAGCCCCTCCCCCACAGCCTATGTAGCCCAAGGCCCCTTGTAATGGCCCTTTGGTGACAGGGGCTCTGTCACCAACTCCTCTAGGCTCATTTCTTTCTTCTTTTTGTTAAGACAAAGTCTCCCTATGTAGCTCAGGCTGGCTTTGAACTCACAGAATCCTGCTGCCTCAGCCTCCCAAGTGCTAGGATTATAGGTTTGCACCACTATACCTGGCTTCTTTTTGTTTCTGTTTTTGTTTTTGCAGAACTGGGAGTTGAGCCCAGGGCCTTCACAATGAGCTACATCTCCACTCCTTTTTTTATTTTGAGGCAAGTTCTTATTAAGTCACTAAGTTGACGAGGCTGGGCTCAAACTTGTGATCCTCCTGCCTCAGCCTCTCAGAGTACTGGGATTACAGGTGTGCCACACCACGCCCAGTAGCCCCATTTCCTGCAACACTGCCACATTCACATTTCTTTTCTTTTTTTTGTCTTTTTGAGACAGGGTCTCACTATGCAGTTCAGGCTGGCCTTGAGCTCACTTTATAGCCCAGGCTAGCCTCAAACTTGCAAGGATCCTCCTGCCTCAGCCTCCTGAGTGCTAGGATTATAGGCGTGCGCCACCACGCCCGGCTCACACTCACGTTTCTATCACAGCAAAATAACATTGACTATCTAGGAGCTATAAAGTCATTTTATGTGAATGTTGAACAAAATTTCTAGAGAGGCAGAGGGACCTGAATTTAGACATAGTTATCCAACCTGGTGGCAAGTCTCTTCTTTCCAACCTGACCCTTAACCACAGACCAACTCCAAAGCCCTTCTCGATCCCTCCCTCCCTCCCTCCCTCCTTTCCTCCCTTCCTTCCTCACCGACCCGGCATGGGAATGCCACATGGTATCTGCCACCCCTAGTTACTAAGTTCACCCTCTGTGTTTAGCCCTTGCTTTCCTTCTAACAGGGAATCTCCCCTTTGTGTGGATCCATCTACGGAAAAGACCAAATATTCCAGAGAATGAAGAAACAGTCCCTGACCACGGAAGGTCTCAGTTATAAAGAAACAGCCATGCTCCCTACTCCTAGTTCACTATTGGGGCCTGGGTGGCAACAAACAACAGCTCAGGAGATCCCACCAGAAAAGCAGACTCCAGTTCTCTCACGTGGCACCACAGCTAAACCCCAGTGTGCCCAACCTAGACGAGGGCGTTAACTCCCAACAGAGGTTAGCCATACGACGCCGAGAGGCTGCAGAGCCCAAACGGTCCACGTCTCCAGAAACAGCAGTGTGCACCTGGGGAAAGCAAAGCTCGCTCAGCAGCCATCTGTGAAGCCAGCAGCTCCAGAGAGGAGTCGGGGAGGACAGCGGGGCAAGGACAGCCATACTTCTGGGGACAGCCAGCACAAAGCTTTCATGAGTCCACAGATAAGCACTGACCTTCTCAAAAGCACTGTAAAATGCACAGACGGGATTGGGGGGTACCTTGAGGGTAGGGGGCAGGCACAGGCCGGCTCTACGCTGGAAGGACCTGGGCTCTGGGGTTCTCCATGCAAGGAAGGTGGCAGGTGAGACCCTAATTAACTGAGTGGCTCTCTGAGTTTCCGTGGAAAAATCACTTTGGGTGATCCTGACTCATGAGAGTGAAATGCTTGGTACAAAGCAAGGGACGGTGTTGTCTTTCAGATGGGAGCTGGCAAACCGACCTACCAGAGGAGTCCAGTACAGCCGGAGTCCCTTTCCCACCAAAAAGCCTCGCTGGCTACCAGTCTTCAGGGTGCCTCCCCTGTACTTCACACACCAGAGCAAGGCCAGGTGAGAGACAACTGCCGTTAGGCAGCTATGCCCGGGGCCCAGTACCTAAAGCCACTGACCCACAGTGGACAGGACTCTCAAGCAGTGGGGCCTGGGGCACTAGGCCATCAGTCTCTTCTTTTCCAGCCAATTCCAGCAACACACTGCTAGCCCCCTTAGGACAAAGTCCGGAGTCCCTGGGTCAAATGGGGTTTTTCAGTTTAGCTCGGCCTACCTCATGCCGTGTGCTAACATTTGTTGTTATTGTTGTTTTAAGACAGGGCTTCATTAAGTTGCCTTATATAGGCTGGCCTTAACTGCCTGGGGCCAAGAGATCCTCTAGCCTCGGCCTCCTGAGAAGCTGGGACTACAGGCGTGCCACTGTGCCTCGTTTGGCTTCTATATCTTTTTATGTACTGTGTCTTCTGCCCACAGCATCTGCTTTTCACTGTTTACCTAAAACAATAACTTCTCTTTCCGTTCATTATTATCACCTCTTCTAAGAAGCTGTGCCCAGGGGGCTGGGGATTTAGCTCAGCGGCAAAGAGCGCCTGCCTGGCAAGCGCAAGGTCGTGAATTCGGTTTCCGGTACCGGAGAAAAAACAAAAAAAAAAAAAAAAAAAGAAGCTGTGCCCAAATTCCCAGATAAGAAGTCCACCCTGGCGGTCCCCAGCTCTGGTATCTTGTATCACCCTATGAGGTTGTACACAGGGGCATATCTGTCTCCTCTCTAAATAGGCCTCATGCCTGCACTCTTGGGGGCCAGGCCTGGGACAAAACAATGGGTGCTCGTCCTGGCATGATGAGTACCCTGCTGCCTGGCCAAAGACAGCTGCAGGAGCAAGCAAGCGCTGGTTGGCTATGGCCAAAGATCCCTGCTCCAGACTCCAGCTGTAGCGGAGAACACCCCCATCCCTCCCCGCACCATCGAGTGCTCTAGCCCAGGCTTGCTGTTCTTGGGTAGAGCCACCCATCACATGTCGGAGGCCTTGGCCGCTGGGATGATGTTACAGTCTATTTTGAGGGTCACACTGGAGCATCTGTCAGCAGGGCCAGCCACACCCTCCATGTGTCATCAGTAAGAGCCAGAGACAACCACAGGTCCAGGAAATATGTCTGAAGAAGTTGCTCCCCTGTCAGGGACCCTCAGCTTCGGGACCTCCTTGACTTCCTAGAAAGGTCAGCCCAGATGCTTCTTACCTCATGGCACCCTTGGCAGGGCTCAGATGTGTCCTTACCCACCAGACCTGCTTCCGGGGTTCTGAGCTCTGATGACTCGGCAAATTGCAGCCGAAGCCCATTAGTCTGCACCGAGATCTTAGCTCCAACACAGCCACTCTTTCACCCAAAAAGCCCAGCACCCCAACACAGAGCTAGTTACCCTTCAGACTCATAGGGTCAAAGGTCCTGCCTGCTGGGAACTCCTACTCATCCCTTACAACTGTGCCCAGGCTCTGATTCCTCTTGCACAGACCCCTGGAACCCACTCTCTACTGAGCAGATCACAGGCTCCCAGAGGACAAGGCTGGCCCATACTGGCTTTACTTCTCCACTTCTGGCACAGGACCTGGCACATGTCAGAGACAGACAAATACTCTACAAACACTATAAATGAAACCTTCCTAACTAGCTTTCTGTGTTGTTCTACAAAAGACATCATTGTGCTGGACAGTGAGATGCCTATAATCCCAGCTATCCAGAAGGCTGAGGCAAAAAAAAAAAAAAAAAAAAACCAGAAGGCTGAGGCAGAAAGATCACAAGTTTGAGGCCAGCCTGGGAAATTCAATGAGGTATTAACTCAAAAAAAATTTAAAAAGATTGTTCCTGTAATTCCAGGACATGGGAGGCTGAGGCAGGAGGATCACTGCAAGTTCAAAGCCTGAACGACAAAGAGAGACCCCAACTCGAAAAACCAAAACAAACATAGTAAGTTTCAAGGCCAGCTTGAAATACTGTACATAGTGAGACTGTCTGAGGAAAAAAAAAAAGGTTGGGGATATACCTCTCTTAAAGCATGCTTGTCTAACATGTATGAGAGGCTGAGGCTGAGGCAAGAGGATCGCCTTGAATTTGAGGATAGCTTGGGGAGTCCAAGGCCAGCCTAAACTACATAGGGAGACCCTGTCTCAAAAAAACAAAAAAATAGAAAAAGGCATTTCGGGAGAACCATGACACTAAAAACTAGATTCATTAAATATGTGCTATAAAAGAGGTATATCCAAATCTACAGAAAAACAAGTTCAATGAAGACTAAATTATCAAGCCCAGCACAGTGCATACTGTACTTCTCGAGCTCCATTTAGCACTGAACACCTTTCAGTTCTGCCCCCTAACACCACAATCTCGTAAGAATCCAACAGGACGTGCCTTAACCCTAATCCAAGGAAGGCGTGCAAGAGCAGCCCTGATAGGGAAAGGAGGCAGTCATAGCATGGACACATGTATCTGGGATCAGGCCAGGGCATCTGACAACTTAGGCTACTCCACTGCACATCCTAAAGCCACAGGGAAGGCCACCCAAGATTCCAGGGATTCAGGGCTCACCCACAAAACAGGTACATCCATCTTCATTGTCGCTCCAGCCATTTCCTACAGAAGCTATGAGGCTCAAACCAGACAAGCAGGAAAGCACACAACTAATTACCGTCTGGTCACAGACCAAACCAGTATCAGAAATACACCTTCAACACTGACAGAAAAGAGGAAACAAGTTGGTTGATACCTGGCTGCCCTGTAACTGCTCTTAGACTCTTAAAATCACACCTGGACCACACCAACACCTGGCATATCTCAGCTATTGGAAGGCTTTCAGAGGTTCCATAGATTGGCCATGAGGGACCATTCATCCACTTACCATGTAACAGTGATCAGATGAAGTAGGCCATTGCAGGCATACATGACCTGGGACCTTTTGAAAACTGGGGCTTACATGGACTGGAGATGTAATGCAGTGGTATAGTGTTTACCTAGCATGTACGAGGCCGAGGGGTTGACGTCCAGCACGGGCGGTGGGGGGAGGCACCTGCACACCCATAATCTCAGCACTCAGAAGGCTTATGTAGGAGGATCACTAAGGTAGGCACTCAAGGCCAGTCTGAACTATAAAGTAAGAGCCTATTTCAAAACACAACAAAATCATAAATAAAACAAAACCTGAGGCTTCCAGATATATTTACCAAATGTAAAAATGCTAGGAATAGAGCCTGGTGTGGCGATGCATGCCTGCAATACCAGCACTGAGGAAGCTGAGGCAGGAGAATCACTGTGAGTCCAAGGCCATGCTGAACTGCACAGTGACGGGCTGGGGATTTAGTTCAGTGGCACAGTGCCTGCCTGGGAAGTGCAAGGTCGTGAGTTCGATTCCCAGTATCGGAACCACCCCCCCCAAAAAAGGAACTGCACAGTGAAACCCTGTCTCAAAAAGACAGAACAGAACAGAACAGAAGAGGGAGAAGATGAAGAGAAGAAGGGAAGGAAGGGAAGGAAGGGAAGGAAGGGAGGGAGAAAGGCAGACAGGCAGGCAGACAGGCAAGCAGGTGGGTGGGCAGAAATGTTAAAAGCCAGTCAAAGGAATCCAGGTCTCTAAGATTAGTATATGTGCTGCCAAAGCAAGCACAGGTCTCTAAATTTAAATACTTCCCTTCTCAAAAGTTGTTCTTGTCTCTTACCAGCTCCACAACAACACACAATATCTACAATAGAATAAGGAGTACAGAGAAACCACTCTACTCTCCTCTTTACAAGTTTAGGAGATGCCCTTTGGTTTCTTTGGCAATACTATAATATGAGACTCCAGCATCAACATCCTGGTCAATACTATCTTCAAGCTGTTTGCTTTAAGGGAACGTTTTCATTCACACAAATTAAGGTATACTCAATAAATGTTCTTTCAGATGGTGGAAAATGAAATTAGACTTTAAAGCCCTTCAATAAATGTTTCTTAGTCAGGCATGGTGGCTCACACCTGTAATCCCAGTACTCAGGAAGCTGAGGCAGGAGGGTAACTGTGCTTGAGACCAGCCTGGGCTACATAGTGAGACTCTGTATCAAAAAATAAACAAACAAACAAACAAACAAAGGCTTCCTACCTGTAAATGCATTACATTGGGATGAAAGCGAAAGATGCAACCGTTTTCCATGATTAGAATTTCATCAAGCTCCAGGGTTATAAGTAGCTTGGATGCTGACCTAGCTCCCCACAGGGCAGATGAGGAGACTGAAGCCCAAGATCTACCCAAGCCCACAGAGTCCTCGCAGGCAGGGGAATTACAAAGCACTAAGAAAGCAGGCAAAGCTCTGCTTCTGGCAGTCCTGCCCCCAGCACACCCCATCTCAGACATTTTGCACACATTACAAGGGGACAGTCCTTAGGACACAAGAATTATTCTAATAGCTCAGGAGTACATACACTTCGGGTTGGCACAAAGGTCACTGGTAGAACTGGCAAACTCCCCACACCAGACCTAAGGTCTGACAAGGAAAGCTTTTCCAAAGCATTGGCAGTCATGTTATTTCATAGCATAAACAGACTGTTTTACTTAAACAAATTGCTTTGTTACAATTGCTTAAAAAAAGGAAAGACAAGAAGAAAGAAGAAAAAGAAAAATGTCCCCTCTGATGGCCTATGTCTCTTTACATCACCCTAAAAGAGGGAGTCTCCCTGATGCTGACTTTAATGAGGACCTTTTTAAAGCTGGTCCAACTGGTGTTCAAGTCCCTGAACTGAAAAACAAGTTTATGAGCAGCAAGGTCACCTGATTCTGACCACGTGTATGCTGTTTACCCGGAGATGAGAGTGGTCACCATAGCTTTGATGAATGCTGCAAAGACTCTACTATCCCTTTGAAGGCTGGGGCCTCTACATGACTAAATGCCATAAAATGAGGGACCCTGAGTGCAAAAGGAAGGAAGTCACAAACACCACACACTAGTTGGGGAAACCCCATCTTGGATGCTGAATTGTTAATGCAAACGTGTTACTTGTCTCCCTGGTCTGTAAAGTAATTACATCATCTCTAAAAAAATGTCCCCTGCTTTACCCACAACATGCCTACTTACTTAGACCTCATCATGCCCACAGTCAGGGGACACTGGCACCCTACAGCCAAGCGCTAAAGCAGCTTAAATCAGTCACAAGTACCACCTAGGAGACCTCAAGTTCAGAACACAGATTCAGGTCAGGGGAAAAGAGGGTGATATCAAGGTGCTTACCCATCTCTTCCTTTGCTGACAATCTTCACTTCAAAGTAATAAATACCACAGGCAGCAGGTATGGGGTGGGTGGCACGCACTGAGGCTGCATCTTTGTGATTTTTGCCATGACCTAGTGGGATAGGGCAAGGTAGAAATTTCAGCAGAAGGAAATGCACATCTAAACCTCACTCTTCTCTACTCCATGGTAGCTTCACCCATCTCTGGACAAAGGAAGCCCTTACACAGTCTGAAGAATAATCAAGACAACTGAGTAAATACACAGGCTTTGCACCTTTGGCTCACCTCTTCCTGAGACTAGCAGGCCTGACACATTGTCTTCCACAACAACAAAACTACAAGCAATGCAGGTGCATGAGAAAGATACCCGAGTGCTGCTGGTAGTCTCTCCAGAACCCAGGCAGTCTGGAAGTCCACGGGAAGGAGGAGGTAGACATGGAAGTCATTCCCATTACCAACAACTTTAGGACTGAACGCCAGGCCCATTCTGGGATGACTGGCAGGCAGATCGAGCCATGCACCTCTGCCTAATGGAGATGTTACCACCTCTTTTTTTCAGTCACTCCTGAAACAAAGCAGTGGCCCAGCTGGAGTTGAGTCAGCCCAGGAAACGCAGAGAGACCCTAAAGTGGAAAGTCCAGCCCAGCACTGGGTTTGGACACCTGTTGCAGTTCTCTTGACGTCGGGTGCTCACAGTACAGCAAATCAGGCAGTCAACCCTCGGCCTGATCAACCCTACCACTCTGGACATTCCACAGGGACCAAGGCCTAATCTGGGGCACCCAGGCAGGGAAAGGGACGTGATGGTGCAGGAGCGAGGCAGCAGGGCCAACCTGCAGATGCTCTGCACTAGTACCCGGTGGCCAGACGGGACTATACCTTTGTAGTGGACGCGGAGGTTGCCCTGGGAGAGGCCGATGTAGTTGTACTTGTCCTTGGGGCTCCAGGAACGCGGCAGCGGCGTCTCGTGCTGGTTGACTGCGGGGTACAGGCGTTGCAAGCGCTGGCTCAGCTCCTGCTCTCCGGGGGACGGCAGCCCGCCCCCAGCCCCCCCGCCGGAGGAGTCCCCAGCCTGCGGGCTCCCAGCTCCCGGGTCCGCCGTCGCCGCCGCCATCTTGGAGGGAGCTGCTATTGTGTCACTGGGGGCGGGGAGGAAAGCGACCAGATCCGCCCCTCCTAGCCAATAGCCCGTGAGCCTCCCAGGGCCGCAGGGAAACCGAGTCCAAGTCCCGCACCTCTCTTTGGACACTGCCACGCCTCGCCACATTTCAAACTCTATATCCCACAATGCAAAGCGCTCCAGAGGCGTGTCCGTGCGGGCCAGTGGTGAACTTCGGGAAATGTAGTACCTACCGGCTCAACCATAAGCCTGTTTAATAGAGACACTGGACACCGAAAACTACAGTTCCCACCAGCCAAGCAGACCCGGTCTGTCAGCTCGTCTCCCACCCCCCCATCGCCTCGTTTTATCCCCCTGCCTCAATTCTGCAGCTGGTGTGATACCGGCTGTAGTAGCTGGTTCTAAGGGTACTCCGCCCGCGGGTCCGAGGCCACCTGTGCTACTTGACCTTTCTTCCAGCCCGCAGGCTCTAAGCTAGGGGCGTGGCAAAACTTGACCCCGCCCTCACCGCGGAGCCGCTGGGACTTGGTCGCCATGACGACGGGCTGTACACTACCGAGTTTCCCAAGCAGCTAGTGCAAGCCCCCTGCTTGCCTGAGGGTCATGACCTCCCCGGAATCGCGGGATTACAGCTTCTCCAAATCAAGGTAGGCGCTCGCCGGGCTGAGGGCGGAGAGGATGAGCCCTTCCAGAGAGGGAGATAACATGGGATCCCGACCTCTGCACCCCGTATTAGCCTCTGCCCTTTGGCCTAGGGCTCCAGCCTCACATAAACAGTATTGCAGAAACAGAATACACTTGTCAGTCCAGTGAAGACCTTACCTGCTATCACCAAGAGGGCAGCGCACTTTATCATTAGCAGTCGCAGCCAGCTTGTATTGAACGTTAATATGCAAAATGCTTTATACATTTAACCCTCCCACACCTCTATGAGGTAGTAATTTCACATCTTACAAATGAAGAAATAGAAACCTGGAGAGATCATGTATTTTACACATACTTATAAGTGGTGGAGGCCGGACGTGGTGGTGCACACCTGTAATCTCAGCACTAGGGAGGCTGAGACTAGAGGACACAGTGAGTCCAAGGCCATCCTGGGTTACATAGTGAGTTCAAGACCAACCTGAACTACATAGCAAGACCCTGCTTAAAAAAAAAAAACAAACTAAATTATATAAGTAGTGGAGTTAAGATTTGAATCCAGCAATGTCAGACTCCTGGACTTTAGCCAGTAGCCACAGGGATAAACTCTCTCTTCACCCACAAGTTGGGTTCTTGAAAAAGATACTTGTCAAATTGTTGGCTGACCTTAGGCCTCCCAGGTACATTCCATGGCTTTAGGACATCTCCTACCTACATTCGTGAATGCAGCCTCTAGGAACTATAAAATATGATGGAAAGGTCTGTTGACCAACAAAGCCACATATATGGGTTAAGACAAAAAAAAAAAAAAACTTTGGCCAAGTACCTTTCTAGTTTTGGAATCTCAAAAAAAAAAAACAAAAAACCTTAAATTTCCAGACCTCAAAATCATTTTTGAGGGCCAGAGATATAGCTCAGTGGCACAAGCACCTGCCTGGCAAGTGTAAGGTCCTGAGTTCAATTCCTGCTACCAAAAAAAAATCTTTTTTGAGCACATTTAGGCAGAATTATGGGAAGCCTTCATCACAGTTCTTGTATATAATAGACATTCAGGGGCTGGGGATTTAGCTCAGCAGCACAGCGCCTACCTGGCAAGCACAAGGTCGTGAGTTCAATCCCCGGTACTGAAAAAAACAAAAAAAACAAAGACATTCAGCAAGTGTTGAATGTAGTTCCCCTCCCCCTCTGCTCATTCCCAATGCAGGAAAACTTGATCTCACCTAAACTCTAATTTTTCTAGGTCTGCTGCTTTAACAGAGAAAGCCTACAAAAAGTCCCCTAGAACAGGAAATACCAATTTGATTATATTATTCAAGGCTAAAATTAGTCTAGAAGAACCAGACAGCAGGCTTGAGAGAGTTGTTCCCGGACACAGTCATAATCTAGAAAACTACAGTCAACAATGAAAGGCATATGAAACAGACTCAGAAAAGGAATCTCTAACCGTTTTAGAAAGAAAGCGCAATGTGATTTCTGAGTGCTGAACTTGGCTGGAATATAAAACACCATTTATTCACCACATTCTTCCTTCAGCAGTATGTAGTGATAATACACTGGGCGGGACTCAGCATTTCCCAGAGAGACACGGTATGAGTACCCTGCAGCTCCTCTTAAAGCAGGGACAGCATGATGGACAGGTCAGGCTTTAGCACTGTAGAGCATATCCTCAGAACCCTCCAAAAAGGATCTTTAAATTGTCCATTTTCTTGGGGCAGATTTCTCCTCTTCTTGGGCTTTTCTCCTTTGCCCCTCACATCCTTGTATAACAGGTTAGTGGCTGGACTCACAGATTGAAGTTACTCAATATCAGAATATGTCCCTGGGCTGGGGATTTAGCTCAGTGGCACAGCGCCTGCCTGGCAAGCGCAAGGTCGTGAGTTCAATTCCCGG